ATATATGGTTACATTCTCTTAATGAATAGAGGGATTTGTTGTAATAGTGTTTGTAAATAGGATATCATGTCTGCATCTTGTACAGCAAATAACCACTAGGAAGAGAGTATGCAATGTGTTAATTATTGAAACTGTCATACCACTTTGATATGAAACTGTCTCACTGCTATATCTCTCTTAATAAAATTGTGGGAAAAAAATAAAAATTTAAAAATTTCATTTTTTTATCAACACATGACTAAATTTACACATTTCCAAGTAAGCATACAGAAAATAAAGTATTCTAGGACAGTATCAAAATATAATTTATGATTTCACATATTAATAGATCCCCAAAATTTAATCTCAAAAAATATTTCTTAAAAGTATATTATGATTTTTATTTAAAAAAAAAATGTTCCCAATCAGGTTGATTATTTTATCTGTATGGCACAAATGGCTCAAAATATTATATACTTACTCAAAACCATCTTTAGAAAGATTCTAATTTTTCCTTTTTATGACTGCTGGAAAAAACATCTATGGCTATGGAAAATATCCTGAGCCTCACAGAGACTCGCTGTCTTCAACTGAAATTAGGATGTCATATGCAGCCTTCATCCACAGCGGCTGATAACCATGTGTCATTTCTCAGAACTGAGTTTCCAGGTAATAACATAGGCACAAGCTGTGCCTTTTCATAAATGTTATAACCCTGGTGTGTGCAAGGTCTTGTGGTTGCTCTGACGACTCTTTCAATCTGTGTCAAGATAAGTATGCATTTCACACAGGCCACTAGCACTTCACTCCGGAAGTCAACAGTGTCTCCTACCTCTGTTCACTAATCTCTAAGGTAAAGCCCTTGCCTGGCCTTCTCACCTAACCTCACATCACAGTAACAGCAATGTCACTGGTATCCACTGAGTATCGGATGTTGCAGAGAATGCAAGGGCCAGGAGAGGATCGATCTTCGACAGCTTTGACGGGTAGCTATGCTCTATTTAGAACCTTCTCTGAAATTGTAGATGAAATTCATTTTCTGCTGTAACAACCAGCAATGAAAACTACAAAGAGATCTGAGACTCTCGAGACGGGGAAGCACTGGTAATAACATGGGAGGCAGTAGAGGAAGCCACACTGGGGAAAACACTTCCTCAAGTTAGAGGAGAATATACAGCACATCATGTAACTTTGGGAAAACTCAATTATCTCTTTTGAGTTACCAGTCACAGCTCCAAACAAAGGTTGATGACTGCTTCTACAATTGAATTCAGGGAGCATTTTACATTGTAAAATTATGTAATTGCATTTTTTAAACATCACAGAAGCCCAAAATATACCTATTCATAATCATCAGAATGTGTACATCTGATCGGGACCCACTGAACCCAAGGTTTAACCCTTGTCTGCATTTTCTGCCATGATCCAAGAAAATACATGGTGTTCTCTGAGAAGACACACCATGATGCTGGAAGAAGATGCCGACTGCATAAAAGGAAATTATGAACGGATAAAATAGCCATCTGCCACAGGAAAAGAGAAACAGCAAGATCCAGAGTCCTGAAAACTTAATGGTAACAACAGAATGGAATTTTTTTTAAAGACTCATGTGTGCCATGACAGCAACAGAAGAGTACGTGATTGTCACATTCATATGACAGAACTCAAAATAGAGGGCTGGGCAGATAGCTCAGTGGACTAAAGCACCTGCATCTGGGGTTTGATCCCCAGTGTGTAGTCCCAGCCCTGCCCCTGGGGCACGCTGAGACAGCAATTGAGACTGGGCGTGGCAGCACATGCCTGTAATCCCAGCATATGGGAGACTGTAAACAGGCAAATCACTCTAAGTCTGATCTACATAGTGGGACCCTGTAGACCCTGTACTAAACACAAAATTAAAAGAACTTAAAATAGACTGCTCCTTTTTCTGCACTGTGAACTGCAAAATAGTACAAAGCTGTATATATTCAGTACAAATATATATTCAAGTGTGGAAAGAAAATGACAAGAAACTAACCTCATTATCAGCTTCACAATGGAAGTGAAAGATAAGGATATTTCAAGGAAAAAGCACTGGGTCTACCTGCTTGGTAATGACCGTGGCCTGCTGGACGCTTGTGGACAAGGGTAGTTACAGCTGTGTACGAACACTAGCTCTTTACACATCAAAGGTCTGGAAATGTTACTGTAAAGACCACATCCTATAAGCCACAGGGAGACAGCACCAAGCTCTAGCTTTCATGTGTGTCCCTTAAGAAAGGAGAAACTGACATCCACGGACAATAATAAATGAGTCATCATCCCCACTCCTCAGGAGGCTGAAGTAGGAGGAGCACTGGAGCCTGCATGTTCGAGACCCACCTAGACAACACAGCAAGAACTTGTCTCCAAAAATATATATATATTAATTAATAATAAAAAACAGTGAAACATTTCAAATCCTAATGCCAAGCTTTTTATATTTTTCACTGTTTCTTCAACTGAAATATTTCTATAGGCCTCCTAAATCATCCAATAATTTTCCAGTCCTACAACATCAGCTCTGTTCTCACGTCTAAGAGAGGCAATATTAATATTTAACAAGCACTCTGGAATATCCAAATGAATATCACCAAACAACTGCCAGCCAACTCCAGCTGAGCTTGATCCTATCTTTAAATGGTGGGCACAAACAACAAAACCACCCTATTCTGTAAGGTACACATTAATGACAGTTTTAAAATCATCAAACAAAGACCATCGGGTTAAGTATATGTGACAGGAGAATGAATAGCTGTCAAAGTAAAGTTTTGCCAGAACACAACAGAACTGTCTGAGCAATAGCCCAGCAGGCAAAGGGCACTCCTTCTGATTTCCTAGAACGTCTCAGGGTATTACGTCTGATTGCTGTGGCGGCACATGGTGTTTTTCATCTAACACTTTAGAAGAATGCTTGGGTGCATCATGCTTTGCTTTATTAAACTGTCTATGTTGCAACCATTCATTTCTATTTCTCTTGCATCAGTAAAATGTCGAATAAGAGTGATAAGACTGTCATTTGCCCTCAATTTCCTTGATAATGTAAGGTTTAGAAAGAGTGTTAGAACTCAAAAATAATAGACTCATACATTTTCTCATTCTTCGTTCCTCCTGTATTTCCACTGGGGGGAAATCTATTTCTGATAATATCTCCTCTGAAGTTTAGAAAGCTGAAAAGGATTACTGCTAACCCCCAAAAAAATCTTTAAACATAGTTATTTTCTTTCAAAAAAAATTTCTTTCAAAAGTAAATATCTTTCGAAAGAAAAATACTACAAAGAGCACAAAACCTTCCCTGGAGTGATCATAAAGGGTAACATAAAAGTGGCCATAAATAAAAAGAAGAAATAATACTTTAAAAGGTACAAAAAAGGTTACAAATGGTCCTACCCCAGTTACATCTTTTTTATACTGACACAAACATACACATGTATGCACATACACAATTACACACACACACACACACACACACACACACACACACACGAGATTTCAACTACAAATTCTAAGAGCAATCACAAAGCAGCAAAAAACAAATCAATTTTTTCAACAAAGAGAGAATGCAAGGGCTGGTGAGATAGCTCAATAGATTAAGCACCTGCTTAGGCAAGGGCAGGATCTGGGGTTCGATCCCCAGCAATGTGACAAGGTGGCTCCACCCCCCCCCCAGGGTGCACTGAGCCAGCCACCAAGTCAGAATGTGATGACACACCCCTGTAATCCCAGCGCTGGGGAGGCTGAAAACTGGAGGATCACTATGAGTCCAAGCTGTGTAGTGAGACCCTGTACCAAACACATAAAAAAAGAGATACAATGCATGTCATATTTTAAAAAACAAGACAAAGGAATCCTCCTTCCCTCACTCAATGGATTAAAAAGCAATGCTTTTATAAAACAAATGTGTGAACCACATTTCTTTTTCTGAACATATTCTGCTGGAACTAATATAACAAAATTAAGATATTACGAGACATATCATACTCCAATCCTAATTTTTATTACGTTGAGATTTTTTTATGAAAAGTAACAAAAAATTACAAAGTGATTACAATCAATTAATGCAGAAAACAAAGCCCAGGTATATTCATAGAGGGCAAAATCATCTATGTGAAAATATTCCTTAACATTTCCTTTAAAAATCTTTGAAATGAAAGTTAAAACAGATCATATTTTAGGTAACTCATCTTTACCCTACCACATAAGCAGCTGCATTAAAAACCACTCAGAAATCAAAGTTATATTTCAAAGAATACAGTGCACCATAAAATTAAACCAGAGTTTATAAAGTTGTCTTAGAATGCTTAAGGAGTTTAAGAACAATGGTTCATTTCTTCAGAGCTGGATCATCCACGTCGAAGTCACTCTTGCCTGGCCTCACCAACAGCTCCCCAAACATCAAAGACAAACTCATCTGGAAACGCAAAGTCTCCCAGAGTCTCATCGAGGGTGACAGCAAATTCATCTGGATTTCCTTTGTCCTTGCCAGCTTCAAACATGGTGGTAGCTGTCAACGACAATGTTGAGAAGCAGTCAAAGGCCTGGGGAAAAACGGCAGCAGAAAGGCAAACTGCCAACATAACATGGGTCTGTGTAGGATATGGACTTCAGCTGTTAAAGCGAAACAGTAATATATTCAGTCTCACTCATCCAGGGAACAGTGGTGTTTCAACAGCGTGCGCACAGCACCAACTTTGCAGCTGTCCCTGCCCTCTCACCAGCCAGAGAACCATCATTTGAGGCACTCCTGACTCCCCATGTGGACCAGACACCGTGAGAGGAAACCCTGCCAAGGCACAGGGTTGCCAGCTCCCTCTGCCCCTCCACCAGCCACCCCCCTCCCAGCTGTGATGGGGTCCCTTTGCAGCTTCCCAACCCAGAAAGTCAAAAGGTTGCAGCTTTCAGTGGGGCAGCTGAGCTCTGGCTGGGAGGAAGGCGCCTGCCCAGCCAAGCATCAAGACAACCTTCCAAGCCCCCTCCAGGGGCTCTGCTTCCGGAGAGTGGCCTGTGACCCTTGAGACACCTGGGGACCAGCTCTCCAGCAGAAAGAACCTCAGGTAACAGGAAGGATCAAAGCCCAGGAGCAAAGTGCCAGCCGCTCCTTTCCTCCCAGGTCAAGGCGGAGCTGATCAAAGCTTGGGGGGCTTTTCTGAATGAGTCTCGAGGTCTGGTTTCTTGGCTAGATGCACTAGGCACTTAGGAGCAGGTAGGAGCCGTTTTAGAGAAGCCTGGAAGAAAGGGAGAGACAAGGCCTACAGAAGGGAGGAGGGTGCGGCAGGGTGACCTGGGACTGGGATCAAAACTCCGGCAAGATGAGCAGGGCCTCCAGGGCTGCATGCAGGGCAGGTGCAAACGTGGGCTAGGGAGAGAGGAGCAGCCGGGCCCTAAGACAGCTGTGGACCCAGGGTTTCGGGTGCCGGCAGACACACAGGCAGAGTCTTTTACCCAGAATGCCTGGGCGTGAAGAACACGAGATTTTAATTTTTTTTTCAGATTTTATAATAGTTGTATATACCCAATGACATTTCTTTGATATAGCACCCAAATCTAAGCCAGGCGTGTTGGAGCACATCTGTAATCCCTGAATCTCAGAGGCTGAGGCAGGTAGATGGCCACGAGTTCAAGGCCAGGTTAAGCTGCACAGTGAGTTCAATGCCAACCTGAGCTACACAGTGAGACCCTGTCTCAAACTAAAAGAAGGAAAAGAAAGGGAAGGGGGGAGAGAAGGACAGAGGGAGAGAGAAGAGAGGAAGACAGTTTTTGTCCCTTACTTGTAATTGCAACAGTTTGAATTTTAAAAACAAAAGTAGTAAAGCAAGAGGAGGACTGGAGTCTTAATTATCATCGCCCTCTCTTTCAGCCTTGACCCGCTCGACTTTGGCTCTTGAAAAGTAACTTGGAACAAGTGTTAAAATCCTCCAGAATGTTCATATATTTAATCTACTAGATTTCTACCTCAGTAAAGCCTTGGAGCCAGGCATGGCGGCGCACATCTGTAATGCCAGCGCTCAGGAGGCTGAGGCAGGAGGACAAGTCCAAGCCAGCCTGGACTACACAGCAAGGCCTCGGCTCAAAAGAAGGAAAGAAAGAAACAAAAGACCTTGGGCTAGGGCTGGAGCTCAGTGTAACAAACCTGAGTTCTATCCACAGCGCAGAAAACAAAGAAAAATCTTAAAAATAGACGCGAACACAGAGATATATCTAAGGATTTTAAAAAAAAAACCTAAAAATGTAGAATTTTCAAGCTCCCTCTAGTATGATGAAATATAGTAAGCAAAATATTCAATGAAGTATTTTAACCAATTTAAATGTTTATGAGTAATTTATAATAAACTGGGGAAATATTTTTATCTTAACACTTACTGAAAAGGCAATATATACTTGGTGTTACAGTCACAATTACAATTTCTAATGAAATTTATAAAAATCTCTACATATATCAATAAATGGAGACATAGGTGATAAATTGATTATATTTTTTTTTCTTGTGCTGGAGAGAAACCAGAGCCTCATACATGCTAGGCAAGCGCACTACCGCTGAGCTACACCACCAGCCTCCTGCACAGCAACAGCAGAATCTAGTTGGCAGGTGGACAGGTTTTCACTAAAAAGCCCTTCATGATATCCTCTTTACAAACACTATTAGGGGCCGGGGAGATGGCTCAGGGGAATAAGCGCTTGCCTGGCAAGCGCAAGGGCCTGAGTTCAATCCCCGGTTCCAAAAAAAAAGAAGAACAAACACTATTAGAACAAATCCCTCTATTCATTAAGAAAATGTAACTATATATCTATCCTAACCATTTTGAATACACAGATACAAAATGGACATTCATTTATATATCCCCTTTCTCGTTTAGTTCTGTCATTTGATTATTATAGGTGTGTTAACTCAGCAAAATATTCTAAAAGAGTTCAGTAGTTCATAATAGTATTTGTAAATAGGATATCATTTCTGCATCTTGTACAGCAAATAACCACTAGGAAGAGAGTATGCAATGTGTTAATTATTGAAACTGTCCTACCAATTTGATTTGAAACTGTCTCATTGCTATTTGTTTCTTAAATAAAATTATGCAAAAAGAAAAAAAAAGTCCTTCAACTTAGGGCCAGCGAGATAGCTCAGTGGACTAAGTTCCTGCTTTGGCAAGCACAGGGGCCAGGGTTTGATCCCCGGACCCTCATGCTGCACCAGCCCTACCTCCCCCCTGCCCAGGGCACACTGAGCCATAGACCAGTCCAGGTGCGGTGGCGCAGGCCTGTAATCACAGCACTGGGAGGCTGAAAACAGGGGGATCACTGGGAGTCCACGCTGTGTAGTGAGACCCTGTACCAAATACATTAAATGAAAATAAATAAATAAATAAGTCCTTCAACTATGCTGCATGTGGAAAACTACCACAATAAAATATGAGGAGGAATACAGAGAAAATGGAAGAAAACTTTAAACCGTGGCAGAAAAATTCAAATTGGAGAGAAAAGATTCCCTTTTAAGTGGAATTTTATTTGGAATTGAGTGCTGCATGACACCGTTAAAATATGCTGACTTCGAATATTTACTCTGCATGCCCAGGTACTGGCTATACTGGGGCAAGTGGTTCCTGAGTCAGCAAGCAATCCCTAATGTCCACAATGAGCACTTCATCGTTCAGCAGGTAGACATTTGATTACAGCCCCAAACAGGGGAAAAAGAGGAAAACTGGTCCAGAGTGCATTTTCACAGAAAATGAGAAGTCAGAAAAGAGACTGCCTGGTATGGTAGTACACACCTATAATCCCAGCACTCAGAAGGCTGAGGCAGGAGGATGTCTATAAATTTCAGGACAAGCTGGGCTACATAATGAGTTCAAACCCAGCCTGAACTACATAGTGAAATCCTGACTCAAAAAAGAGAGAGAGATGGAGAAACAGAGACACAGAAACAGAGACAGAGACAAAGTGCTCTGGAAGCTGCCTCTGTCTATCAGCATTCCTCAGTACCCCCCACATCCTAGAGGTTGTCCCCTGTCGCCTTAGACCCCCATGTCCTTGGAGACCTCACCTAAGACCTACTGAGAACTTGTCCTGCTGCAGCCAGTCCTGGCCCCCTGCTGGCTCCCTTGGGAGCCCCATTTCTGGATAGCTGGCCCACCATTCTTCCTTCGTTCTCACTGCCATCTCAAGCAGCAGGTCCAAAACCCAAATGCCACCTTCCTTCTAGAGACACCAGTGTCACACACCCTCTGCGTCTGTCTCTTGCCATCCCCCAGCCTGTGTGTCTAACACAGCCTCTCCACCTGCGCCTTTGTGGCCTCTCTCACCTGTTCCTCTCCAGTGTGACCACTCTGCTCCCTTCATCCCCAAGTCTTATCAGCAGCACCTCTCTCAGGGGACACAGGGGACACAGGGACATCACACTCCTCTTCCTGAGCCACAGCTCCTGCTCCACCAGGGGGCCACAAAGGGGCCACAAAGCTCCTCCCCACCCCTGAGATTCTCCCCATTCCCATGCATGAAAACATCCCTCACGGTGCCAGGGCTCCATTGTGAAGTCCACCCCGATCTGCTGCTTGGAGCAGAGGCACCTGTGGCTCCCACAGGCCCGGGATTCTCCTACCTGATGCCAGCTCCTCAAAGTCACCCCAAGGTCCCTGCCCTTCCAGGGATGGCTGCTCCCAGTCACCACACCAACATGAAAGCCCCTTCTCTCCTCGAGGCAGGAAGTGCACTAGGGCTGGATTTGAGCCATGTGCAGACCGTGGTTCAGGAGTCTGAGAGTCTGCATGTCCCACAACTCTCAAGTGATGCGGTCCCCGGCGACACTTCAAGTGATAATCTTTTTTTCCCTTTCAGTACTGGAGACTGAAGCCACTCCCTTTGCACTGAACTACATATATCCCCAGACCTTTTTTAATTTTATTTTGAGACAGGGTCTCACTAAACTACTAAATTGTCCAGGCTAGCTTAAACTTTGGATCTTCCTGCCTCAGCTTCCCAGACTGCTGAGATTACAGGCATGTGCCACCATGCCTGGCTGAAAAATTAGATCTCTGGGTGCATATTCAATGTGGCTCTGTATTTACCTTATGTTCATGTGTGCATTTTCTCTCCAATTGCAGAACTACTTTTTAATGGATCTTGATGGCTTACAGAAGAACTAGTTCAATATCTTGTGAATGTAAATGTTGATGGATAAGTCGGGAGAAAAAGGACTTTGAGTTAACTATATTTTGTATTGCCACAGTCAGCTTGCATCAGGCAGAAGTGAGGCCCAGAGCTCTGGTCCCATAGCTGGGATATAAGAGAAAAGTAACCAAACTTTTCTCTTACACATTAAGTATGGCCAAAGCAAGGCTGGCACTCAGAGTTTTCCCTGGTCTGTACTTTAGCTACTTCTCTTACACCCTACAAATAACATCTACAGAGATAGTCACCTAAAGACTGTATTGACCCATGGGTGAGACACCTGGAGGAGAAACAGAACAGAGGAACAAAAACAGGTACCCAGCTAAGAGGCTCCAGATGGTTAGG